CCGATGCGACGAACCACCGAACGGGGGGGGGGATAGTGTTTTCAGGGAGGGGGAGGGGGAGGGGGAGGGGGGAGACTTGGCAAGGGCAGGGACGGGAGGGGTGTGTTTTTTAGGGGGGATTGTGTTTAGGGGGTTTTAGGTGGTTGGGTTTTAGGTGGTTGGGAAAGACGGAATGTGGCGGGTGTGCCGAGTGGGGTTTCGGTGGTTGGGTTTTTGGTGGTTGGGTGGTTAGTACGGGAATTCGGCGTGTCGCAGGAAAATGGAGCCACCTTGGCGATGCCCGTGCCCCCGCCCTCCCCCGTGCGCCGTCAAGGAGTGCGAGAATGGAAAAAGACGAGCTCAGCTGCTGCTAAAATCCTAGTGTAAAATAGTTTTGCCGTACTGCCGTACTGTCGCCTTTCACTGAGACACATGAGAGACCTCAGAAACCCTAACCCCCTAAAATTCCAAACACCTATAACTACTACCCGGAAAAACCCTTAGCCCGTAAAAACAACAAAACCCACCACCATGTAAATCCCCTACCCCCACCCCCACCCCTACCCCCACCCCCACCCCCACCCCAATACCCGATGTTTCCGTAGTCGACACAGGCCTTAGTTGCCTACCCCCCCCCGGGGCCCCTCCCGCAGCAGACCGGCTCATAGTAATCGGGCCCAGCAGATGCACGTCAAAAGACCTGTACGGCAGTCACGGAAACATACGCAGTGAGCTATGCGCCATCACCAACCCAGCACGATACGTTGGCAACAGTGCCGTTTTTCAGGTAGTCATACAGTGCCGTATATTCAACATTAGTTCTTTGTGGCAATATGATGACAAGTGGCAGAAGAAGAAGAAGAAGCACCGGTGGGACAACGGTGAAGGGAGGTGACGCATGGCGTGCAAACCAATACACACGTGCGCACGAATGCACACGTCGACGCGGCAGAGCAACATACACACAAACATGCAAACACACGGTTATACAGTTACATACATATAATTAGCAAAAAATGGCAAAACAATAAGGAAAAAAACAGCAGTTGTTTCGCACACAATGCGCAATTGCACACAAAAAATATGCACATTAATAAAAAATCAAAGAGAGGCTTATTAGAGGAACATTAACACCATCCCGAAGTTGGGGAGTGCAAACCCTTGGACGTTTGAGTGACGGCCTTCCACAACACACATCAAAAAATAGAGCATGCTAAAAATTAATTCCACGCAAATACCGTGCAGCAAGTGCCGTACACATAGATACCGTACTCTGAGTGCTGGTCCATATGCGTCTCCATGTGGTCAAAGTACTCGTTGGTGAGACGAGCACACCGGGTCGCATACGTCTGTAGTACGGCAGTACGACAAAAGAAATAAAAGAGGGGAGAGGTTTAGGAAAATAAACAAACAGTATTACATGTCATTTATGGACGGTTGCGGTACAACTTACAAGGGCGGCTAGCTCGGTGGGGTTAGGGGGAATGCAGAAACACTCGGGCAGGAGTGTCGCCGAATTCACGAATATAATATAATTTGCGCCTCCTGCTGCCCCTACCACCACCACCACCACCACCACCACCACTACGACTGGTATTTGTACATGAAAGATGTACGATTGAATGTACGAGTACTGACCTGTACGATGTGGGGGTGTTGGAGCTGCGGGCCCAGATGCGTTTCCCGGAGTGCGACGAGGTTCAGGGCGGGCGTCACCAAAATCTTGACCGCCACTGTCGTACCGTGCCACGTGCCTTCGTACGGCAGAATAGGAAGAAAGAGGATTGCAAAAGGTAACCGTGCATGCATGCATACATACATACATACACAAATACACATATAAAGATAAATAACATATACAAACATAAACATACATAATTACATACGTACATAAATATATATACAGAAAGACGGTGTAGGACGTGATTATATCGACTTGCGAGCTGACCAGGAAATAAGTTGAGGCGCCGTTGATCCGCTAGATATGGTTGGATGCTGGTGGTGAGTTGCTGAACCCAACGAATACATTCTGAAGTTGGATGGGGTGAACGGATTAGGGTGCCCCTCTAGCAGGGGAGAGCAGGGAGCTGCCTCGGGAAAGGGGGCCGCTGGTGAAGCTATACCACCCTGTAACAACATCATACATTCATAAAGACGATTACGTCCTTTGTTTGTCACCCTCTTCAGATGGACGATGGATGACTGCAATGCGGATTAATTTATAGTTAATATTGCCGTACACGTTGCCGTACACCATGGCGCATGCACTAAATCCATGCACGGCACGTTGCACCCGGCAGTATGTCAACACACGTAGCAAGCACACCATAACATCATATTTTCTTATAATATATGTATACAAGTTGTGTGTTCTTGTGAACCTGAAATTAAGGACACGATGTTACGCTGACCCGAATATAATACGATTCCTTGGCTGGGTCCACGCGGGGGGGATACCGTACTGACTATCAGTACTGTCACATCCGATGTCTGGGGGGTGTGAATCAACATGTGCTCTTTTTACGCACCCTTTAACACGCGCCCATATGTTCCCTTTCCGAGCGGGCTGTTCAATTGGAGGCCCTCCATTAAGTCGAAAGGGGAACAGTCATGAACCTCCATCGCGATTGGAAGGGTTACTGGCGCTTCTGCCCTCCGAGAGGAAGGTCCAGCGACAGGTGCTCCTACACCGCTGCTTTCGCCGCCTTCCGAAGCCGCTTGCACGGCACCGCCGGTTTGCGGAACACCACTTCGAACCGACGTGATGTCCAACCTGGCATCTTCATTTGGAGCGCCATGCAGCCTTGGACGCTGACGAAAGCAAGAGAAAATACCAGGTAGCATTCGCACCAGGTAAGGGTTTTGCCGAGCGCACAATCGCAAGTACTGGGAAAGAGGAGAGTCGTTTCAGCTGCTGTTGAGAGAGGCGCTGTGGTCGCAGGAAGCGCTGTGGTTGTTGAAGAGGGCGAAGATGGGGTGGTCCATGAGACAGTCAGCCCGTGTCCGGCGTTCGCCAAATCTATTCCAGAGTTCGCACTATATGCTTAAGAGTTGCCAGAGGGCGTTGTAATCGCATATAATGACCTAACTTTCTTGAAAGAAACGACTTTTCCGCAAGCCGTTACAGAGTGATTATGGTATCTGCGAGACAGCTTTAACTTTTACAAGGCAAATTGCAATCGTCAGACGCCACTCGACATGGTACAGTCATTATGCTTCCTAACGTACATTTGCCGTGGAGGATTACTCAGACGCTGTTACAATTGACTTTCAATCAAACAGTTTCCCAGGTGGGGCACTTCAAGTCATATTCCGTTAATTTCTATCCAACCCATCGTTTTTAGAAGGTTGCAAAGACAATTCCGGTAGCTTGCTCTTACGGCTCGGTCGGAAACCGGTGCTCTCGAACTGAAATGGTTATCAGCAAAGTATTTCGCTGCATTCCCTCTATTCCCATCTCCCTACGGCGGAGGATACGTCAAAGTAAGGCGGATTGACGTCCGGGCCTGGATCCCCTTGCCATTTCGGACAGTCACCCTGCCGCTCCCACGCTGCGTTTTTTGGCCAGGACTTAGACTAAAACTCCTAAAACGCTACATACTCTTCTGTCGACCTCGATTTTACGGAGATCCACCAAATGTCTTGCCGCGTCAGCAACCCATTATGGTTTCACGCACGAAGCCGAAACAAACATATAAGTGTCCGGGCTCAATTCCGGGTTCATATCCGCCTGCCGACTCCTCGGGTGTTTGAGGAGTGTTGAAATGGGAGGTGGCCCCTCATCTTATGGACGGTGTAGGACGTGATTATATCAACTTGCGAGCTGACCAGGAACTAAGTTGATGCGCCGTTGATCCGCTAGATTTGGTTGGATGCTGGTGGTGAGTTGCCGACCCCAACGAATACATTCTGAAGTTGGATGGGTGAACGGATTAGGGTGCCCCTCTAGCAGGGGAGAGCAGGGAACTGCCTCGGGAAAGGGGGCCGCTGGTGAAGCTATACCACCCTGTAACAACATACATATAAACAGCCCTCCCCGCAATTCGCCGCAAGGTCCTTGACCTGCCATTCCACCGCCAGTGAGCCCCGAGGATGAATGCTTGCAGTACAGTACGAGGAAAGAATACGAACGAAACCCTCCCGGGAACCTCCAAGATGTCGAGCTGCAGGCGCTTTCCCCCCCCCACACACCAGCTGGTCATATTCCACTTCTTCAGCCCTCTACCTCTACCTCAACACTTGGGCTCTCTTCGTGGTCAATTTCCACGCAGCTGTCGTACCGTCTGCCGTACCGTCTGTCGTAACGGGCGCGAGCCCGTTTAGCTGTAGCGCTACCCCCCGGTGGGGAACGTTGCTTAGTGCCGGCCGTCGTACCTCGTACGGTGTCTTACCCGCACGATACACAGAGGCGCACAACATCCTGGCGGGGGACCACCATTTGGGTGCTTCCTCAGCGCGCAGGGGGCTTGCATGACCGGAACTGTGCCGCCGTGCGTGCTGCGGTTGTTTGTTTGAGAGCTTTCGTAGGGCCACCGCGCTCTTTCTTTCCTCTTGACAAAAGGGGAAAACGCGGGGGGAAGGGGTTGCGCACGTCCTCGGTCGAGCACTAGTACTAGGGGACTGTGGGGACCCCGCACGCCCCTCTCCCCCCCCCGCTAGGGGGGAGAGTGCTTCGGCGGTAACCGTTACCGTTGGGGTTTTTACGGTTAGGTGGCCCTGGCCAGCGTCAGGTCCGGATCGACATATAACAGAGGATACGCACGTACACACGTACAAACATACACACATACCCCTACAAACAGTCCGACGTATTAGACCTAACACCTGTTTACCGAAGTACACACGCTCCGTCCTTATTACTACGCATGCGGTGACTATTACTACGCCTCCTCCCACCTCCCGGTGCTGGGGCATTCGTGTGTTTTGGGGTCACCCATTAGTTAAACATTTGAATTAGTGGATTTAGTCTTAACATTTATTATTGTTAGTGGTATGATGGTAGTGGCAGTGGTAGTGCTAGTGGGAGCGGTAATGGTAGTGGAAGTACGAAATGTGAGTGGGAGTGGGAGTGGGAGTGGGAATGATGGTAAAAAGATATAATCGATTTGAATATGATGTGTGTGACATAAAATAGCGGCCCCCATGACGATGAGGTTGACAATGGCAAAGCGATGGGAATAGCGACGAAGAGACAGTATAAAGATGTGGAGGGTTTCCACAAGTGGCTTCTATGATGTGGAGACACGTCACGCCGCCAGTACAGTACGGAAACCGTACAACACGACGTGAACGCTACCGCCAGGCCCCTTTGACTCCCTTTTGGCCCTTCCTTCCGTACTTCCGTACGACAACCATTACTACAACCATTACTATCACCACTGCGCAGCCAAATAGCTTTTCGAAACCAACATGGTCATAATCATGACCATCGTGAATGCGCTAAGTAAGAGTACGACACAGTACGACATGTTTGTGTGATGAAATTGCTACGTCATCCAGAATGGTCTGGGAAGAATGCCCCTGCGTCACATATCGCGTCGCATCATGAAGACGTCTGTCTTCAAGGGAGATGTTACAACATAAATCGATGCCCCTGAATGACGATAGCGATGTTGTGCTTATCCGCGTACATACAAAACGACGAACGAGCAGTCCCCCCCCAATACCCCCCCGCACTCGCACACGTACCCGCACATACAAAACACAAAACATTCCGCCACAAACCCCCCTCCGGCCCGCCGTACACCTTCCCCCCGCAAAGGTTTGGGAAGGAATGAAAAGCTGTGATGTGGCAGAGGAGCTGACTCCTAATCAGGACATGTCCGAGCATCGCTGCTAAAATCGTACAACAGCACCCCTCTAACACTGCCGTACTTCTGCTGTTACTGCCGCTAAGGAGGGACTACTGCTGCGGCGCTGCTGCTGGCGGCCCTGGCGGCGCTGCCTTGGCGGACGACGGCCGAGAGGGATTGTACGACCGGGAGGCGGCGGCGGCGGCGGCGGCGGCGGCTGACGTTGGCCGACTACCGCTGCCCAAAGGACTTCGACCGCCTACTGCTTGCCCCGAAGACAGACGGTTAGTGTTCCTGTTGTTGTTGGTTGTGGTGGTTGTGGTCGTGGTGGTGCTGCTACCAACGGCCGACGCCGACGCGGAGCCCGCTCTCGCACCCGATGCCGTACCATTACCTCTACCCGCGCCCACTGGCGCCGGAGCCGACGGGGCCCCTGTCGTACCCATTCCTGAGGAACGGCGGCCGCCGGCGTTGTCGGCCCCTGTCGTACCCGCTCCCGTCGACGACCGGCGGCGGCTAGGGCCCCGTGGACAGGCGCTTCCCCCGCGGGGCTGGTTGAGGTAGGGGGCGAGAGCGGGTGCCGCCGCCGCCGCCGCCGTCGTCGTCGTCGTCACCTTGCAGCCGCCGGTGCCGTACAGAACATTACCAGATGGGGGTCGACTCCTGTTCCCGGTACTGCTGCCGACGCGGGGGGCGTTGGTCAATGAAGGCCGTCGGCTGCCGCCAGCACTGCTGCCTTCGGTAGATGTACGGACAGCACCGCCGCCGCCGCCGCCGCCGCCGCTTCTACCCGCCGTCGACGCCAGGCCGTGCGATGACGGGCGCGGTACGGTATCTGCCGGAACCTTAAATTCCACCTCCGCCGTATCGCACCGCGGAATACGCATCACACCCTCACTCTTTGCCCGACGCGGTATCGCCGCTCCGCCCGGCCGCTGATGTCGTACAGCTGCCGTACCGCCGCCGATGCTAATGCCGTCCGCCTCCGCATCTTCATCGTAAACGTCGTCATCGCCACCATTGCTGCTGGCGCTGTCTCCGTTCCCGCCGCCGCCTCTACTGGTACACGCCGCACCTCCACCGCGACTGCTGGCCCCGCTCAGGTTGCGCATGGCTGGTAAATATCTAAACAAGTAAGGGAAGAATATAAATGAAGATGCAAGGAATTTTTTCCATACAGAGATCCGCTTCAAACAGAAACACTTATTGATTTAAAAGCAAGGAATCCCAAAAAGAAAAATCCTGAATTTATTTGCATATATATGTCAGGCACTACTGGTAAAGCTCACAGCGATGTACCCGGAGGTTCAGGGATCGAGACCTGTCCAGGTCGAAACATTCTTTCGATAGTGGAAGATAAAAGTGCCCCTGCGAGCTGACCAGGAATGGAGTTGGGCCGCTTTCGACCGGCAGATTCCGTTGGATGCTGGTGGTGGGTTCGGAACCTGAGCGATCCACTGAGAAGTTGACTAGGGTGACTGGATGAGGGTGCCCCAAAATACCCGCGGGGAAGGCAGGGGGTCTGCCAGGTAGCGGCCGCAGGGTGAAGATAAGATCCCCCTGTCCCACACATTACGACAGTACGTATCAAACGGTACGTAGCTGTATGTCATCGTACCGTACGGTGCCGTACCTGAAGGTCATGTTGGAGCCCTCGATTCCGAGTTCATCATGTTCTACAGCCTCTGCCACTGCCTTCGCCGCCGATGGATTCTCCCGCCGCCGCTGTGTTGGCGCCGCCAGCGGCGCCAGCTGCGGATGGGAACCCATCACTCGCTGCCCGCCGCCGCCGCCGCCGCCGCCCCCGCCGGCGGCGGCGGCAAGGCCGTCACGATAATCACTCAACCGGCGGCTAGGAACCACATGCAGTTGCGAGTCCGACCGTCTCTCCCCAAGAACGCTGCTACGGCCGCCGCCGCCGCCGCCGCAGTCCGTCACCGCCGCGGCGGCGACGGCGACGGTGCCGTCAACGCCATAGCTGGCTGAGCTAGTCAGCAGATTCGCATTCGACGAGAGAGACATGGACAGCCCAAGGGATCCGACAGGCGAGGCCCCGTCCAGGCCTTGGCCTTGGCTTTGTCCGCCGCCGCCGCCGCTGCCGCCGCTGCCCCCGCCGCCACTGACGCTGGCGCCCCGGTATTCGGTGGTGTCCGTCGGGTGGCGGCGTGTACGGCGGACGGGGCTGTCCGGAGGGGCCGAGCTGGGCCGGTGGCTCTAAATATATTAGGGGGACGTGGCGTGACGGGGAGGGAGGGAGGAAGAAGGCGGGAAAGTAAGTACGACAGAGGGAATAAGGTAGTTGTAAGACATTCTCACTACTCATACAACATACGGAAACATAACCATATAAACATAAATACCTGCCAGCACAAGATATGTTCAGGGAAGTCCAAAACAGGCAACCAGCCAAAAGGAAAGAAACGGGACGGGGGGAAAAGAGGAAAGCGTTCCAGAAAATTAAAGGATTGCAGTTGACGACACAAAGTAAAGCAAGGCTGGAGGACGAACAGGTAATAGGTGATGGGAGTTGAAAGTTCGGGGTGATGATGGAGAAGGAGGAGGAGAAGGAGAAGGAGGAGGACGACGGTTGAGGAAGATACGTACGACGTACGACATGTATTAAAGTTAGGCACACTCACCCTCCGGGAATTCTGCAGACGTCCCGCCTCCTCCCCCTCCTCGTCCTCCTCTCCTACATCGCTATCCTCAATTCGGCCGTCTCGATGACGTCGATGCGGGGGTGCTGAGTAGCCGCCGTCACCGCAACCGCCGCCTGGCGACGGCCGCGTCGGCTGCAGTACGACAGGCACTCCGTTGCCTGGCCACGCCGCCGCCAGCGTTCGTATGCCACCACCACTTCCTTGACGGCGCTCTAGGTCCCCCCTCATTGCAGAGGAAGCGCCGGGATGATGTACGACCGCGGCGCGGCCTGCCGCGCCGCCGCCGGCAGCAGCGGCGGCGGCGGCCGCCGCCGCCGGCGCGCGGTACCCTGACGCGGCACGACCGCCGGCCTGGCCGTCGTACGTCTTCCGCCGCAAGCAAGCTCTATCACCCGCCGCCGCCAACCCCCTGGGAGTTAATCCGCCGCCGCCGCCGCCACCACCGTCGCCACCGCCATATGCGCCTGGAAGCGGCGGCGGCGGCCCGCTGCCGCCACCGACGTTGCCGCTCCCGCCGGCGGCTCGAGTGGGAATCACGCGTGGCGGTGGCTTACGAGGAACGTGTGGCTTTAGCGGCGGTAGCTTCGGTTGCTTAGCGGCGGCGGCCGCCGCCGCCTGCGCCGCCGCCGCCGCCCTTGCCAAGGGGTCCCACTTCCGGACGGCAGCTTTGCGCCGTTCCCGAGCCTCATCCGCTCGTCGCTTCTCGTCCCTAAAGGGATAACAGCAGTAGCAACGTTAGCAGTAGGAGCAGTAGCAGTCGCAGTAGCAGCAGCAGTATCAGTATCAAAACCGCCGCCCTACCTTCCAACTGCTCCTATACGTCTAGGAAAACGCACCTCCAACAACAACCACCCGCACCCCCGCCCCTATATAATTAACCTGTATGAATTACCCCCCCCCCCCTTCCGATCTCCCTTCCCCTCCACACACCACCATCACTACCACCCACTACCACCACCGCCACCACCACAAGCCCTCCACTGCCTTTGCTCTTTGCCCATGTCATTCTGTCTGTCTGTCATTCTGTCTGTCTGTCTGCCTCCACGTCGTACGGATACACACGCCAGAGTCGTCCTATTATTACGATTCATAAACCTTATGGCGCTACAATGAGGCGCGTGCCCGCCCGCTCTTTAGCCCAACCCTCCCCCTCTTCCCAACCCTAAAACCCTAAACCCCACCCGTCTTCTTGCTCCCACCCCTCTGCAGATTTACCCCTCTTCCGTGCTCCTTAGCTGCTCCCCACCCCTCCCCCTTTTCGACCTCTACTCCTGACTCACCCAACATGCAACAACACCGAATGACATTCCCTTTTTCCCCATTCCCTTTTATCAACGCGCCGTTCCCCCTTTCTCCCCAACCACTTCCCACCAATCCCTGGCGTACACAACATACCTTTCTTGCGCCTGAAATGCGTTTAGAAGATTCATAATATCCGCGGGTAAGTCGGAGAGCCGATCCAACAGCTCGGGGGCGCCGGGGGAATGCTCGGGGCCAAAACGTGCCGTAACCCGCCGTACTGCGGGCTGTGCGTGCGTTGACGTGGGGTGTGTTTTGGGGTGGGTTGGGGGGCGGGAGATGAAAAAGGGAGAACGGGGGGAGAAGAAACAAGGGCGAGGGGGTTACCGTGGGTGTTTTTTTGGATTATGACACGCACGCACGCAAACACGCAGGCTGGCAGGGTTACCAGCTCGGAAGCAAGTACAGTACGTGACGGAGATGTCCACGTACGGCAGCCATACACGTGGCGTGGCCCCTTTTTCCCCCCACTTACCCTCGTCTGTACACAGGAAGTTAGCCCACTGCTGAGTGCGTGTAAATTCCCCTCTTCTTCCCCCCAAAAACACATTCACACACAATCAAACACGCATCCACAGATACAAATACATACATACACACATACATACACAACTACACCCACACGCCCATGCACACATATACATACATAAAAACACACACCTGCAGCCAATCAAGATCCAAAAGTTCGGACGCGGAGGGTCTCATATCCGGTTCCTTAGTCAACATGGCGCGAACCAGATTACGCCAATGGTCACTTTTAAATTTGAATTTCAGATTTTTTGTGGGGGGTTGGGCGTGAGGGAGGGGCGTGGGGGTGGGGGAGGGACATGGGAGAGAGGGAGAGCGGGACGGGAAGGGGGTAGTCATATGAATGGAGAAAATGGGAAGTGAGCTGCCGTACATTGACCAAGAGGTTCGAAATTTGAAACCGGTCAAGGTTCGAAACTGCTGAATGAAAAATGTGACGCGATGGAGTCATCGCGACCCGCGGGAAGGGCGCGACGGGAAAACGTTTGTGGGATATGCAAACCGAAAAACCGAAACCGTCGTACCACAAGGCGCGGGGAATAGTCCCTGGGGGGAGAGGGCCCCTGGTCTTACAGTGCCGTACATAACTGCAACTGTATTAACTGTCGGCGTCTTAAGCATTTGATCTCCAGAGCAGAGAAAGGAAAAGCAGGTAACTCCCCACAAGATACATACATACATAATACAAACACACAAAATTGCAGACGCAAAGATAGACGTAGGTATGCTTAACGAAATACATACATACGTATATACATACACAAAAGCGAACAAAGACTTCTACACACGCAGACACACCTAAGCACATTCCCGTACCTGTAGCATGGGGGCACGGGGGGCGCCGGCCCCGACGTGACTTTTTTAATAAGGCCCGCCATGTTGAATGCCTGTCCAATACGGTAGTTGTGGTAGTTGTGGTGTTGTTGTAGTAGTGATGTGACAGGTAAAGGGTTATAGCTCAGATAATGGTGGTTATGTTGGTTGGGCCTCCCTTCCCCCCCTGCTCCACTTTCTGTCCAACTTCCAGTCCTATCCCCACTAACAACATATACACCCACACACCCGTACATCCCTCCTCACCCTCACCCCCTCACCCCCACACTATACCCACTTCAGCTGGCCCCCTCCCCCTTTCCCCCCCCCCCCGTGTCACCTGGTACGCGGGTTTGAGCGCCGACAGCTCAAACAAAACACAGCCCAGGCCCCAAATGTCATTGGGCGTGCCGTACGGCTTCTCCTGTAGCGTCGTACAGTACGGCAAATTTATTGCTAGTGTATTCGTTAAGTTACGCAATTCAGTGGTGGTCCATTCTCCTCACGAACGTCCCCAAAACTACAACACATGCCCATGTGCATGTGCACATACATACATAGATGCATACATACATGCACACATACGTACATACATACATACATACCCATTTGCGCACGTACCTGCAGTACGCACGGTGACATGTAGTTGGGCGTTCCGACCATGGTATTAGTCATGCGGTTACTTTCCTGCTCCAAAACCGTAGATAACCCAAAATCTGCGAGCTGTGGAGTTGGGAGGTTGTGTACGGCAGTACGGAAAGGCAATCCAACAGATCCAAACGTAAACACCTAAAACTTATTGCACGAGGGGTTTACGGGTAAGGGGGCCGGGAGTATGGGGGGGGGGAGCAGGACGAACCACTGGCGAATGGAGCAGATACCAAAAATAGAGGGGTAGTCCAGGAGAAGATAAATGTCGTGAAGGGTTGGGNTGGGGGGAACAGAACAACAAGGGACACAGTAGCCTCATGGAGGGGGATTAGGCGAACCAAACCCCCAAAACCCATACCGGCACGCAGGCGGCCGTACACACCTTCGTACCTTCCTGCACACCTAGACGACATTTTCGCATTACTCCACCAACCCGGCGGGGGTGGGGAAAAGAGGGGAAACGAACCCACACCAAACCCACACACGTCACCTGCCCAAACCTCCTCTTCACCCAGTGCCAGATTCCAGTCGCACAAACTCTGTAACCCCTCCCGCCCCTCCCGCCATTTCCCGGCAACCCCCTTCCCCCCTTGCCGTTGCGTCCTACGTAACGCCCGGCAACTCGGTAAATGCCCTTTTCCTCAACCCCACAATACACACACGCTTTACCTTAAACACCCTCGCCTCCACTCCTCTTCGCGCCTTCCCCCTGCCCTTTCTCCCTTGACCCTCTCTCACCTCCCCCGGAGACATACACACACAGTTACATACATACATACATACATACATACATACATACATACATACATACATACATGTTGTTCCCAAATCAACATCCCCCCTCTTCCCTCAACCTTGCCTGGCACACACATCAGACGTATACTCCTTTGGTGTCGTACTTTGGGAGATGCTGACGCAGCAGATGCCGTACTCTGGCATGCAACCCGGTACGTAAATTATTGAGTGCGGCAAGCCGGGCGGGTCCACTTCGTAAAACGTGATTTGCGCACATACATACATACACAGATACATACTTACATATATACATACATATACACGCACCTTTAGACAGCCATCTCCCGTGATGAGTATGTTGGCGGTTTTCAAATCCCGGTGTGCGATGTTGGATCGGTGCAGGTAGGCCAGCGCGGACAGCAACTGGGGGGGAGGGGGGAGTGCGCGTCGCGTGTGTGTATGCGTGTGTGTTTTGGGGGAAGGGGGGGAGGGGGGAAATAGGGGGAAACGCCCGGTAGGTACAAGGAAAAGGGTGTTGACAAACAGGCAACCCTAAAACTACTTAAAGTTCAAGAAAGAAACTGTCAACTGTCAATAGCGCCTTGGGTTAGTGTGGTCTGTGGTGTTTTCACGTGTGGTGTAATTATGACCTCTTTCTTACCTCTCTCCCCCCCCCCACACACACACCTCCCCCCATCCCTAACTCAAAAGCTCTCCCCCTTTTCCCCGGCGACCCTCCTCCCCAACCTGGCCCCTCGCGCTTTCCCATCTATGATTCCTTGAGCTTAGGGTTTTGTTTGAATTAGGTTTTAGACCCTCCCTTCGTACATACACAGTTACACATACATACATACATACATACACAGCGCCTCTGCTTAATTTTGCGGGCTCTTGACATCACTTTCCTAATCATCAGCACCTCCATGGTTAGACCTCAAGCAGCCACATCTTTTAACGGAGACTTCCAACACACGTCGCTAGTGAGCCAACCACCATATTTGGCTTATGAAGTCCCTCATCGCGGCTCCTCTGAAGATGATCATAAAGCACATAACATACATACACACATACATATATACGTACACACAGGTCATACTCATACACCAAGCACACACTTCACCCCTCCCTCCCACCCATCATCACCTGTACGGCCATTTCCTGCAAGTGCTCTTCCGTAAAATGGATATTGCCCGGGTGCTGCAGAAAAGAAGGGGGAGGAAATCCGGGAGGGCGAGGTTGTGTGTGTATCTATGTGTATTTTGGGGGGAAATGGAGGGGGAGTTACCTGGAAAAACAACCTGGAAAAAACACATCGACAGGGTTCTTCACCAGGGTACCCCAAAATTTCGGCCGTGTCCGAAACCCTCTGAATAACCTTTCGGGGCCCTCCCCGAAATTTTTCCTGTCAGCCGGATAGTGTTTTCGGGTACCCCGAAACTGTCTGAAGCGGTTTTCGGGGTAGAGTTTAGCTGGATTCTTCGTTATATGCTAGGACGGCTGAATTAACAGGTGTTTGACTTTATTTTGGAACATAGCTCCTGGGAGAAATATTCCAGCAAGGATTTTACCCAAAGCAAGGCTATCTTAGACTTCATAACTGAAAACTCTTTCTCCAAAACGTCAAGTTCGCTGACATCGAAGGCAAACAGGCGGTTCGAGCTTGTTGAAGCTGTGAATCCCGAGGGAGATGCAGGGCACCTTGGTTGGGCGCTCATCATCAGTTGACTCGGGCATGTTTAACTATGCATATGCTTCGATGTATGAAAATGTGGAATATGGATATGCTTATATGTATGAAAATGTCTGCGATACAGCTGCGAAACAGCCGCAATGCACACTTGTACTTGTTGTTTGACTGGTGACCAAGCGGGCCTTGTACGGCAAGCCCGGTTCCCAGGCCCCGTCTGCGCCCGAAAACATGCTAATTTACGCTGAAATATCGTTCGGTTTTCTCCGAAAACGCCTTCAAAAGGCTTTGGTGGGGTCCCCGAAGAAATGCTCGAAGAGGCCCCAAATCCGTTGGGAATGCTCCGGGGCGCACTAATTTTTCTTTCGGTCAAAACGGAAATATCTCAAAAAAGTTCGGGCCCGAATCGGGGTGAAGAACCCTGCCGGTGTGACATCGACCGCTGAGAGGAAACGAGTTATTAAGCCGGCGGTCAACGAAGATGATTCCCTTCTTCCCAATTTGCGCCCTCCGTCCTCCTCTCTCTCTCTCTCTCCCCCGGTTGTTCGTGGGCCGGCCGTCTCTTCCCCCCCCCACCACCCACCACCTCCACCTCCACCCACCACCTCGGCAGAGTTGATTCTTTGCTTCTTGCACATACCCTCCCCCAACCCCAAACTCAATACCCGGCACCCGAAACATAAAATTCCAAATAACGGTTGACCCTTTGTTTGACCATTAAGTTCTGTGGAGTCGTGAGACGTGTTTTGAGCCGTACAACCCACCTCCCCCACGCTATTTCCCCTCACAAAGGACGTGAACGGGTTCGAAGAACCCTCCCTCCCCCTCCGCTTCTACCCCCCCCCTCCTCTCTTCCCCGACCCCTCTCCACCCACCCACACTCACATACATGCATACACACATACACGCACACATACACAGTTCACGCACGCACGCACTCACCCTCAGCCGCAGCTGTGTGAACAGGTCCCCGCTCTCACACAGCTCCACCAGCATACACAAGTTGCAGCCCCCCTCCACCCAACACCCCTTGAACTGTGGGGAGTGGGGGGGGAGGGGAGAAATACGGAGGGGGGGAGGGGATGTCGTTGGATTGGCCGGGGAGTGTCCGCGAGCAGTATCAGGGGAAGAGGGGAGAGGGAGGAGTTCAGTCACTAACGTCCGGGTGGTTGGGTGGTTGGGTGGGGGGGAAATCAGTAAAAATGGAGGTTAGAGGAACGGTTCTCCCCCTCCAAAAGCTCTCTCTCTCGCTCTCCCCACCTTTCGGAACCCCTAAGAACCCAATTAATCGAACGGAAAACGCGCAAACCCCCCTCCTCCTTCCCCCTTTTCTACCCCCCAATCCCCCCAAACACATACATACAGACAGACAGACATACACACACAACCTACCTCCAGCACATTCCGGTGTCGTAAGTTGCTGAGCAGCAACAACTCCTTGACGCTGCTCTGCCGCTCCCGCGCGGTTTGACGAGCAAGTCGTACACGTTTTAAAACAAACCGCTCGCCGGTCACCTGTATTGTGAAGTCATATCATGTACGACATAATAGCGAAGCATAACCCAAATGCAATGTGATGTGATGTATACGAGTTTACAATATCGTGCCAATTAACAAATAGAGCACTGGGGTCATGCTAAGTCACGTCCCGACGTATGCCACGGAAGGAAAAGGAGAACGCACTGGGGCCAGAAGTGAAGTTTGCAAATAATATAGAGATTGGCGCAAGTTACGGAAAAGGGGGTTTGGGGATGTGGGTTATGGGGCATGTGCGGGAAATGTCATGAGCCAGAACTCCTTTGTACTGGCAGGCATGCAGATCTATCTATCTATCTATCTATCTATCTATCTATCTATCTATCTATCTATCTATCTACGTGTGTTTATAGTGTGCGTGTATATGTGTATATATGTACGTGTATGTACCAAAAAAACACTGGCGGGCGGGCGGAGGTAGGTAGGGAGAGAAAACTATATGTGGAGGAAGCTATCCCCTTTTGTTGCGTCGATCTCTCGCTAGTCACCTCTAAAGCACTTCTTCAGCGCTTCTCAGCTCATTCGAACACAAACGCGGGGAGAAGAGGGGTTGGGGGAGAAAGGGAGATAAGAGGGAGGGAGGGAGCATGTGTGTGTGTGTGTTTTGCAGCCGTCACGAGGGAACCGGGATCCGGGGGGAAAAGGCGGCGGATGGGAAGGGTGAGAGATCATGTGCACAATTTGCAAAGTAAATCAAATTTCCGACGTTCACAGCAGGAGGAGAACCCAGGCGGGAGGTGGATGAGGGCGGGAGGTAGGGCGGGAGGGAGGGAGGAGGGAGGGGGGAGGGGGGGAGGGCGGGAAGTAGGGAGAAGGGTGAAGGCATATGGGGATACCCTTTTATGCTGGGATTGGGAAAAACGGTGGATGCGAGGTGGGAGGTAGGTATCGTGGAGGTCGGAGCGGCCGGTTGGGAAGGGCGGGCGTGACGTAGGCCATTGGGACTGGTGCATAAAACGGTTTGTCTTAGGGACTTCAGCACATCATGGTGGTGTCCTGAAAGCGTTTGTTCCAAAAGATACGGTGAGAAGTCTCGGTGTTCTTAGCTAGACGATGCGCCGGGAATACTCCGGAGCAGAAATTTGGACACATGCTTGCAACCCAGAACCTTCCTTGGGAAGTCCCAAGCCAGGCTTTTGGGCAGTAAGGTAAATCGCCCAACAATTAGTCTTACGACAACTTTGCAGACACAACCTCTCAGACAACGTACCAACCTAAAGGAGCATTATTTTGGCCGTAGAGCATACATTAGGAGAAAATTACCCGAAAAAATGGGAGCTTTCCTTATGCACAAGCCTTAGGTATGGCCGTGTCCACGAGCGATGGCACCCCAAGGGGAAGGTATCCAAACCACACCTTGTGCTGGACGATATGTGCTGTCCCAAACGCTCCTTTCCCAATCTGGCGGATAGTGGTGTAGTCGTCCTGTGGGCAAAATGCCAATTCGAAAAAGCCCATGTCAGTGTTATTGCACAACCGAGCCTACCAAGAGAACATGCTCACCGACGACATCGATTGCATGGGGCTTTACGTGTAAGGGGTCTCCTCAGATATCATGGAGGCCTGTGACCCGTGCGGCCAAGTCGCTATGCACCATAGCCGATAAGGGAGGTGCTATTGATCAACGGCTGGTATAATACATATATCGGTGATCCCTGAGTCGTTACGATTAAGCCTCGCATAAGTGCATAATTATATTTTTTTAAGCTGGTCTCAATGAGACTCTTCCTATGATCGTTACCTAAAAAGCTATCAGTTTACCTTACATACATCTACATGTTGTAAAGTTCAGGTGAACGCGTCTGTATTTGGGAGTCCGTACGAGCACTATAACACACATGCAGGTATGTTTTGTTGCATTTTCGAATTGCTCCTGAGCAATCGACACTCCTAGTATTCCGTCATTGGTATACGTTGGTTCTTTGGGCAAACCAGACCAGAGGTTGGTTAGTCGAGCACCTTGGACTTCGCTGACCGTTATAGATTACATCAGACTCAGGGAACCCTCGGTAGATCAGTGGAAAAGTCCAAATGAACGTTGTCAGGTGCTCGCAACAAGCTGGGTTCAGCGGCCGGACGATGGAAGGGGTACTTGTGCCCTGGCGTCAACGGCGGACGGGCTCTCGCGCTGCCGCAACTAAGATTCAAGCTATCTCAGGTTAGAAAACGCGCTGCACCCAGAGGCCAGCGCTGCCCGTCTCCCTGCACAAAGAGTGTTGGTCGCCTAGCGCATGACGAAGATCAGGCCGTCCGACGCCATCGCAGATGTCCGCATCGAGGTGGAGAAGACCAGCTGGAGCAGCCGTCGCATATATGCTGCTGTGGTCGTAGCCGCACCAAAGAGCTGCGTGTGGTCGGCCTTGACCGACTACGACAATCTCGGCAACTTTGTTCCCAGCCTCGTCGAGAACCGTTGTCTGGAGCGCACCGCCAACTCTGCGGTCGTTTACCAGGTCCGTTCTTTTACGTCTCCTACATCTCCTATGTTTGTCTCCCTTCTTGAATATCTGTATGTATACATCCCCTCCATCTCCGTCCTCATGCCCTAATGGCGGTGCTGGTGGCTCGGTGGCCTATCTCCGCGGCTTAGGTGGGCGCGCAAGATGTGGCACTGGGTGTAAAATTCAGTGCCGCTGTGTCTCTCCGCTGCACGGAATTTCCAGACGGCGGCGTGCCGACAGCCCTCATGACGCCGCCACCGCAACCAGTCATAGCAGCCGCGGCAGCAGCAGGCAGCAGCAGCAGCTATGGTAGCAGTTTTAGCAGCAGTGGTAGCGGCAGTAGCAGTGATGGCGGAAGCGGTTCTTGGGACGTGGGGGCGGCCGCCGTGGAGACGCTGTTGCCGTACCCGTGTACCTCGGTCTCGGGGGTGACCGCCTCCGATATAAGTTTCGATCTTGTGGAGGGGGACTTCCAGGTACGTCTGTACGTGTGTAGGTATGTCTCTCGAATTTATTTGATCTGAGCAAAGGGGTACGGTGCGCTCCTGGAGCGAAGAGCTGTCTGTGAGTAACAACACGACGTGCGGTTGTCACCACAAAATGGACTTCAGAATCGTGAAAAGTAAGCAGTAGCCAGATGGCCAGCTGGCCGTGCATTCCCGCACTATGCTTGTGTCGGTAGTGCTCACCTTTTTGGGCAAGGAAGGGAAATCTCAATTCTTTTGCGGAATGGGAGATGGAAGATGGAAGATGTGAGAAATCAATATGTAAACTGCGATTTGTCGGAGCCACAGCACGCACGAGGGTGTAGAAGTGAGGCCCATGTGTTGATGTTGGGAGATAAGGCCCGCGTGTGTTAAACAAACAAGGCCCTTATATTTGAAGGGCCTTATATGATAAGGGCCTTGTTAAGTTACGAACACAGACGGATCGCAGCGGTGGTAGCCTCCGTTCTACTGGCTATCTGCGCGGCTTGGGTTGATTGGGCGGAGGGACTGGGCTGATTGGGCGGAGGGACTGGGCTGGTTCGGGCGGAGAGGGGTCGCCCATCTTTTTCAACCAACCAACCAACCAACCAACAATAAGACCCTTTCGTGGCGCTGGCCACGTCTGTCCTCGTGACTCCCTACCAACGGTCAATCATCAACTTCCAACCACCCTGAAGGCTTTCCGTGGAATCTGGCGACTGCAGCAAACCGGCGAGCTGTCCACACTGCTGAGCTATGCGCTGTTCGTAAAGCCTCAGGTAGGCGCGGTTATCGTACATTTGCCGTACGGTGTTTTTTCGCTTGGTTACGTGACTGTGACTAATATAGTGTGACCTAATATAATAATAATACGAATATATATAATAATAAGATATAATATGTCTGTATTTATGTATGTAGGTATGAATGGCACACACAGGCCCGGTGAGATACGTGTAACCTTGACACACACATACATACACGAGGTTCCGGGATCGAGACCTGTCAGGGTCGAATAATCCTTCCGATGGTTAAAGGGAAAGTGCCCCTAGTTGATAGACGGTGGTGACCCGGGATTAAGTTGACTCCCGAGCCGACCCGGAATGGAGTTGGGCCGCCGTCAATCCGGCAGATTCCGTTGGATGCTGGTGGTGGGTGCGGAACCTGAGCGATCCACTGAGAAGTTGGCTAGGGTGACTGGATGAGGGTGCCCCGAAATACCCGCGGGGAAGCCAGAGGGTCTGCCGGGTAGCGGCCGCAGGGTGAAGATATGCCCCACCTGTCCCACACATCATACATATATACACACGCACGAACTCACGTCTAGGGGTCCTTTCTTCGCTTCCTGGGCAGGCCTGGTTGCCCGTGGCGCTGATCCAAGGACGCATAGAGAACGAGGTGGTTCGCAACCTTGAGGTGAGTGAGGGTAGGGCGAGCAGGTTGGGCCCGTTCGTAATACAGCATGTACCTTTTTCAGCACCTCTTCATAGCCATCATTTCATTTTGTTTGGCCTGAAGTAAGCTTAGGTAAGGTAGGAGGCCAAACACTTCCTGCTTGTGGCTGGCTTGTGAGTTGTTTTGCAAATTTCCATCCATATGGTTTGATGCCGG